CCTGTAGTCCCAGAACTGGGGAGGCAGAGGCACAGGCAGGTGGATCTCCAGGAGTTGGAAGCCAGCCTGTCTACAGAGTAAGTTCCAGGTAAGCCAAGACTACCCCGGGAGACTGTGTGTTTTGTCTCAAAAACAAAACAAAAAAAATCCAACAAACAAAACAAAACAACAGCACAACTGCTTTAGCCCAAAATAAATACCAGAATCCTGACTGTGCTGGATGCAAGCATCCGGGGAGATCCTGACACTGTGCAGGGTGTGGTCGGCATGCTTCTCCTTAGCACCGGGAAACTGAAGCAGGAGGATCTCCAGTTTGAGGCCAGACTGATCGACAAAGTAAGGTCGGGGAGCGCAGAAGACTCACTGGGTAAAGGTAACTGTCACGTGAGTCTAAGGACCTGAGTTCACTTCCAGAAACCAACGGTGGGAGGGGAGAGAATCCACTCCTGAGAGTTGTCCTGACCTCCACAACTGTGTGCGCCCATAGTCACACAATAACAAAGATAAATAAAGACAACAACAAACCAGAGCAAAGCCTGGGTGTCTATGTAGCGAACCCATGTGACATGACTTTGCCCAGCATCTCCTGCCCGTGCTGGGGTGTGGACTCTGTGCCATCTGACTGAACAATCATGAAGACACCTAGCAACGAAGACCCACGCTCGGCTTGCTCATCCCAAGTGATGCCTTAGCCTCCTTGTGCTGGCTAGGTTTTGTCAGCTTGGCACAAGCCAAGGTCATCTGGGAAATAGAAACCTCAACTGAAAAAAAAATGCCTCCATCATATTGCCTATAGGTAAGTCTGAGGGGCATCTTCTTGATTAAGTGTTGATGTAGGAAGACCCAGGACCCCGAGTAGGTAGGTGGTCCTGGGTTCCATAAGGAAGCAGGCTAAGCAAACCGCGAGGGGCAAGCCAGTCAGCAATGTTCCTCTTTGGCCTCAACTTGAGCTCCAGCCTACAGGTTCCTGCCCTGACTTCCCTTTATGACAGGCTGTTACACTGAAGAGGAAACAAACCCTTTCCTTCTCAAGGTGCTTTTTATAAAAGCCAATCAGGACAATCCTCTACCTAGAGTTCAAGGCCAGCCTGAGCTACTGAGACCCAGTACAAGCAACAAAAATATTTGCTTTTGTTTTGGTTTTGGTGGGATGATTATAGCCAGCATCTGGCTAAATAGCTCGGACTGGCCTTAAATCAACTCTCCTGATTCAGCTTCCTGAATGTTTAAAGTATAAGGTTTTGGAGTCTAGGCTTCTACCACACCAAGGCTAGTTTACAATGTTTATTTTCCTTTCTTTTTCTTAAAAGATTTTGTTTAGATTTATTTGTTTCATCATTTTATGTGTATGAGTGTTTTACCTGCATTATGTGTATATATCATGTGTGCCCATAGAGCTCAGAAGAGCATTGGTTCCCCTGGGACCAAGTTACTGATGGCTGTGAGCCTCCATGTGGGTGCTGGGAACCCAGGTCCTCTGTAAGAGCAACAAACAGTGTTCTTACCTGCTGAGCCAATTCTTCATCCCCAATAAATAGTTCATTTTTCAAATGAAACTCGGACCAGAGAGTTGGTTCGGTGGTGGAGAGCACTTCTTGCTCTTGTAGAGGACCTGGGTCCAATTCCCAGCACCCACACAGCAGCTCACAGCTGTAAGGGAGGTCGGCCCTCTCGAAGTCGGTACAGGACATACCTACACCAAATTCTCCTTACAAGGAGATTTATTACTCTGGAGGGGTAGGAGGGGGTGCCGCCAAAGCAGCAAGAGCAGCAGCCAGCACAAGCAAGCAAGAAAGTAGGTGGTTCTTTGCAGGAATGGATTTTTTTTTTGTTTGTTTGGTTGGTTTTTGGTTTTTCGAGACACGGTTTCTCTGTGTAACAGTCCTGGCTGTCTTGGAACTCACTCTGTAGACTAGGCTGGCCTCAAACTCAGAGTTCTTCCTGCCTCTGCCTCCTGAGTGCTGGGATTAAAGGCGTGGGCCACCACCACCCAGCACAGGAGTGGGTTTTCGGGAGAAAAGGGGAGAGTCTGTGCTAGGGTGAGTTAGTAAATCGTGATTGGCCGTGTTAGCCAAATAATGAATTCTGATTGCTGGACCTTGGTGTTTTGTCTTAGGAGTAAGTCTGTGGCCAAATAAGGGACTGGATTTCAGGGGCTAGCTTTAGGGGTGTGATATAACAAATAGCAAGGGGGAAGGGGGTAAAAGGCAAAACCTACTGGCCCCATGTTTGCCAGGCTAGAGCCTGCTAGAGCCCTTTATCAAATGACTGTAACTCCAACCCTAAAGAATCTTGCGCCCTCTTCTGGCCTTCATGGGCACTGCATACATGTAGTGCGCTTACATACAAGCAGACAAAACACTCAACAGATATAAAAATAATAAGTACATTTTCAAATGAAATTTAACTACCAAATTTAAGCAACACATTACTTTTTAGTACTCTATAAAAGAGAAAACCCCGCTTCCCCTAAAAACAATTTAAAACTTTACTAGGAAGACAGTCTAAAATTTCAGAGTATTTGTAGGGAAATCATTAAATAGGGAGGGACATAAGGTTTCTCACCGAGCCCTTTGGCCAGCCAGGTGTTGACTCCCTGGGGTGCAGCGTCATAGGCCGTGTGGGGAGAGTAGATGGCGACCCTGTTCTCCAGGGCCCGGATAACCAGGCGCTCCTTCCAGGTCTTCCAAGTTACGCGCTTCGTGGCGCGGAAGATTGGTGGGTGGTAGGAGAGAATGAGATCCGCCTTTTTTTGGAGAGCCTCAACCATGACCGCCTCGGTCAAGTCATTGGTCAGGAAGAGTGTACGGACGGTGTGGGGCGGGCTCGGTTCCACCAGCAACCCCACGTTGTCCCAACTCTCGGCAAAGGAGAGGGACGCAAAGTCATTTAAGGAGGAAAGGAGGGCCTTCAGATCCATGAAGGAACGAGAAGAACCGCAGACCCAGGACGGGGTGAGCCGGATGCCGGTAGGGAGCCGGAGTGCAGACAGCAGCATACAGAAACCAGGTGAAACCGTGCCTGGAGTCAAAACACAGGAGGCGGTATTTACGTACAGTTCCGGTATTTACGTACAGTTCCCTTTCGGCACTTCGAGGCTAAAGCTGGAGTAAGAGCTGTCACCAAGACCCAGATTCAAATGGTGGCTCTGCGGATCCACAGCAGTTTGGGCTCAGCTAACTCATTTGACCTCTTTAACTTTGGGGCTGACTTTGAGACAGGATTTCTCCATGTAAACCTGGCTGTCCTGGGACTCGATCTGTAGACCAGGCCGGCCTCAAACTCACAGGGATCCACCTGCCTCTGCCTCCTGAGTGCTGGCATTAAAGGCGTGCAGCAACCCCCCCCAACTTAATTTATTTTCTCATATACAAAATGGAGACATGACACGCAGATTAATAGAACTGGATTAATTTAAGATGTAAGAGTTAGTTAATAAGAATCCTGAGCTAGTAGGCTGAACAGTGTTGTAATTAAGATAGTTTCTGTGTGATTATTCGGGTCTGGGTAGCCTGAAAACGAATGAGCAGTCTCTGTTTACAAAATGGCGCTCACTGTCTGGCTTTACTCTGCCAAGCCACCGGCCAAAACAGCTCGATTCATCAACCAATAAAAGCAACACACAGACAGAAGGACATCCCACATCACCTACCTCACAGCCTTCTAGAGAAACAAATGCATTAGTATGTCACCTGGAAAAGCCTGATAAAATACAATCGCTCATCACCTCTTACATCCTTGTTAACCTCCCCATCATTGCGTCACACGAATAGCCTGTATCTCTACGCCGCACTCACAAGCACAAACACACACGAATTATACACACGTATACTTAAGACGAACATGTTTAAGGAGCTGGAGGTGTGGCTCAGCTGATGGAATGTTCGCCTAGCATGCATAAGAGTTCAGCCCCCGGCACCCTATAAACTGTCTGGGTGTGGTGGCACTTGGGTGTGGTGGCACCTGGGAAGTAGGAACAGCAAGATCTGAGGTTCAAAGTCATCCTCAGCTATCCAGTCAGTTCAGGGCCAGCCTGGGTTACAGAAGACCCTGGGTCACAAACAGGTATTTAAAACTTAAAATACTGAGTGCATGAGCAAGACATTGAGGCAAACCGGTCACTTCACAAATGAGCAGCGTCAAGAGAGAAAAGGCCAGAGCTGCCCCCGAACAAGCACTAACTGCTATATGTAGGGCATTTACCTACATATTGAGTCTGAATAGCAGGAGGGCAGAGACTCAAAACAGCCAAACAATTCAAAATAGACAGATATAGTTACTGTGTGATGTGTGGTCTGAGAGATAATGGTAGCTTTGAAGAAAGGAAGTGTGTTGGCCTCATCCAGCTATCAAGCCGCTACCAACGGTGCTGAGGAACCTTGTGATTGATTTTGTTGTTACTCAATCAAGCTCTATTGTGAGAGGGCATGAATGTGTCCGTCTATGCTTCTGACACAATACGGATACATTCAAAATATTATCTGAAATAATATGGGGTCTCCTGAGACCTTGAGAGGACTCCGTGGCCAATCCTACACCCGTCCACTCCCAGGAACTTGAAGTGAAGCCGCGCTAGTGAGTGTGAATGAGAAGTAGAAAGCTGTGTCTTCGGAGACAGTGGAGAGACTGAGCTGTTTCAAGCCCAGAGTCGAAATCTTGGGCTCTCTTTAGCCCTCTGAAGAGCCATTTGCTAATTTCAAGCTGCACGAGCGCTCTCTCTGCACTCGCGTCTGGCTCTGATGCACGCATGGTTCAAGGCTTTTTCCAGGACAATAGCACCACATGGCACAGCCTTGCATCCTTGAATCAGGACTGTCGCCCCCTCCTGCAGCAAGGGGGTGTCCGTCCGGGTCGCTCCTGGCCTCGCCCTAGCGGGCTCCCTAGAATCCTTGCAGCGAAGGGACCCTTTCAAGCGCCCACTACTCACCAGCCCCAGAGCCTCTTCTGGTGCGTCACTTCCGCTCCGCCCGGAAGTACGGTGGGCGGAAGTGATCCCGTGTTTCTGGCTTCCTATTCTTCTTTGATTCGTGCACTGGATCCCGCTGCGTCTACGTTTTATTTCTTGGGACTTGATCGGAGTTGTAAACTAGTACTAGTGCCTGCTACTACGGGAAAAGCAAATAGGGAGGGCGTACGGGAAGACGCTTTTAAATACGATCGTCAGGTTAGTAAGACCTGCGAAGTGTGAAGTTTACTGCACGCACGTCTTAGGTAAAGTCGGCGCCCTGGGTAGAGGGAGCGCCGGTGCCCAGCTAGACCAGTATCCGGACGGGGGGAATATGTCTAGACTGCAGAAAGAACCATGGAGGAAAAGGAGCAGAGAAAGTAGAATGTTGGGTAGGATCTCAACACTTCTGTGTTCGGAGTTTTATTCATAGGATGCTATCCTGAGCTTGTTGTAAATCTACCGTCCTGATGAACAAGCATAGCGGGAAAGATAGGGCTGAAATGAACGAATTCCTCCTTCTTTTAGGATTAGGAACTCACCTTCAGGTTTTCTCTGCAAGTCGCCCTGGAACCACTGAGAGAGGATGGTAAGTGTTGCAGAATTCGTCTAGCTGGGTGATTGTTTGCTTGCTTTTATCCCCGTCGGATTCCCTGGAGCTGGAGCTACTAGCTGGTGGGAGTGCTCTTAATTGCCAGGCCATCTCCGCAGCCCGTTACAGGTTTTTAATTATGATTTTTTTTTTAAGAAGTCAGATGAGGTACTGAGTGTGTAGCTCCGTGGCGGAGTGCTTACCTGGATGAGAGGAGAGGGGGGCTGGGGAGAGATGTGTGTACAAGGCTGGACAGGACAGAGTAGAATAAGCAGTAGGCTGGTGCAGGAGGATTGCTGCTACTGTGGGGTCAACCCAGGCTTCATGGCAAGACCTGACGCAAATAGTCAAAAAAGAAAACCTCCAAATAGTTTCTTGTTTGTCTCTGAAATAAGATGTGAAAAAAAGTAAAGTCATCAACACAAGAAGAGCAGAGGAGAAAGCACCGTGGCCAGCGGCGCCCACGCAGACGACTTTGGGGTTGTCTTTAGTAAATGACAGAATTGCTTCTTAACTGTTTTTCAAAATAAACTACCCAAAGGACATGGTGGGGACAGTTTTTGAAAAATCAGTTTGTTAACATTTTCCCAGTTAAATTAAAGCTGTAGAGACATAAAGATCAGTAATAAAAGCCGTGCAGTGGTGGTGCATGCCTTTAATTGCAGTGGCTTTCTGTGAGGTTGAGGCCAGCCTAGCCTACATGGCAAGTTCCAGGACAGCCAGGGCTACACCAGGAAACCATGTCTCCAAATGCAAAAACAAACAAACAAACAAGCCATTGTTTTTAATAAATCATAAAACTCAAAGTAGGAATAGTTATTTCGTTTATAATGGTTGTATCCAAAATTTAGCAGAGATGCCAGTTTTTCATCTGTATGAATCTTTTTTTTTTTTTTTTTTTTTTTTTTTTTTTTTTT